AATGGGAACATGTGTTCCATCAATTGCTCCAATTAATTGTGGAATATGCGTTTTCTTCTCAAAAACCGTAGCTATTTTATGGCACTCATTCTTGTCAGGCATAGTTATGCAAGAACTCATTAGTTCTGCATTAATTGCATCAATTACTTTATGAATACACTTCCATACAGTTGCCTTATGAATCCCAAAATTATTTCCAACTATGCGATATTCACAACAGCTAGATAAGAAATACAGACAAACAGCAACCTGCTTTTCCACCGATACTGGTTCTCGGGTTCCTATCTGGTTTATATTTGGAGCGAGCTGTTCTCGTAATTCATCGCATAGAAAGAAAAAAGTTTCTTTTGTCATTCTAAAGGTTTCTATCCAGTCTTCATCCTTAAAATGACCATTAACAATTCGATGCCACCAGTCAAAACTTCGTTCTTTCATCCATATTCCTCTTTGTCGTGGAAATTGTAATATAGGTCCAAGATCAAGGAAATGATTTGGTGAAGTTAAGCTTAACAAGTGTTGTAATATATATTCTTTTGAACGTCTCCGCCGTTTAGTCAAAATGTTTAGGATATGTAATATATGTTGCAGAGTCACATTTTCTACAATTTTCAAATATGTGGCAACAAACAAGTGTATGCTTTCCATATTCTCCTCGATTAATAATAACCTCGATTGATAACCTAAAATTTTAATTTCACTTTGAGTTAAATATTTTACTATATAAATAATTATTCTATGACTTCTAAATTCATAATATAACCTAAAAAGTTAATTTTATTTGGTAAGATATTTAAATACTATTATTTTTACATTCAGATTACACTCTATCACGAACAAGCTTTTCATTTTTTATACTTTTATGTTGGTACTAATGGAAATCCTTAACTCACTTCACTCGATAGTTGTTAAGTTATTTCAGCTTGGTGGGAATAACATAAGCGTGAACGTGTAAACGCAACTTATCTTAAGTCGGAGTTATAACATTAGCGTTACTAAGTCGAAGTTAGAAGCCGTGTAAACGTAGTCATAATGCATAACGCATAAGAAAATTGACCAATTAGTGGCTTGGTTTACATCGTGCGCTTGATCCACGTACTAAATAGTTACTTTCTTTTAGATAATCTTAATATCGACAATGCATATCAACAGCGACGCATTCTATCAATATAATACGTTTTGTTGATGAGTATTGTACCAGTTTAATATACTGTTGTTTATATCATCGATATTATCGTCGATAATATCGCCGATAATATCGTCGATATTGGCTTAGTTTATATCGTGCATTTGATACGCATACTAAATAGTAACTTTCTATTAGATAATCTTAATATCGATGATATATATAAACAACGGTATATTAAGCTAATATAATACTCACCAAAAAACGTATTGATAGAATGCGTCGCTGTTGATACGCATTGTCGATATTAAGATTATCTAATAGAAAGTTACTATTTAGTACGCATATCAAGTGCACGATGTAAACCATGCCATTAAAATTATCTAATAGAAAGTTACTATTTAGTACGCATATCAAGTGCACGATGTAAACCATGCCATTAAAATTATCTAATAGAAAGTTACTCTTTAGTACGCGTATCAAGTGCACGATGTAAACCGACCCAATAGAAATGAGGATTCTGATTAGTCAGTTTTCTTATGCGTTGTGCGGTATGCCTTTATGCAAGAGTATGTGTTTCTCTCTTTACTAGATGGTTGTGCCTATAACATTTTTCAGCCCCAGTAGAATTAAGTCCCGAATCACAATAGATGTAGTAAGCTTTATGCCTTAAGAAATTGATTAATCACAGTCAAATTTGAGGAAAATAATCGACTGTGATTGGTCGATTTCTTAAGGCTTAAAGCTTATTATACCTATTGTGGTTCGGGATTCTACTTGATTTAATGTAAACACCCGGTAATTCACAATCTAGAAGTCCGCGTGGTGACGTAGCCAATCAGAATGCGTTGGAACGAGTAGGAGCACGTTGGGGCATGCGACGCGAACAAACCTTATAGCTCCTGCACACAGGACGCGGTAATGCTTGCCGCGCGGCGGAAGTCCGCACGATAGCCAGTCAATATGTTGTTTTTCCGTAAGAGCTAGAAGATTATTATGGAAAGCAGCATATTGATTGGCTGTCGCGCGAACTTTCGCCGCGCGGCAAGCATTACCGCGTCCTGTGTGCAGGAGCCATTAGAAGTTATTTGAGGAAATGGCTCTGGCAATAAAGTTTTGTAAGCTGTCAAGCCTATCGTTCTTAAAAAATAAAGGGTACTTGTACAATACAGTAAGATGTATATCTGATGAAAAACGTAAGCACGATCAATATGTTTGTTTTCTAACTGTTTTATTAGTTCTTTAGAAAAAAACAATCAATAAGTAATAATAAGGTTAATATATTATTGTTACATAATAAAATTTATTTTATGGAAAATACAATTATAATTTAACTTCCCAGATATAAGCAGATTATATGTAACATCATTTAGTATAATAGAGATAAACAAAGGATATATGCTTTATATTAACAGAAGGAAACTAACAATTTTATCATTTGTTAGCGTTACCATGGAATTACCTCTGGGAGCCAGGCAAATATTCGAAAGAAAATCATGATAAAATTGCCGAAAAGTATCACATGCATCCAAAAGATTATAAACCTTGTCCTGAAGAGTGGGGAATGGGTGATTATCCAGATTTGCCTATGATAGGACCAGGTGCTAAAGATCCATACTATCCTTATGACTTTCCAGTTTATAGGAAGAATTACCATGAAATAGTAAGTTTATAAAAAGTTTGCGTTTATTATTTCATATTTATAATGTTTTCTAAAATGTTTCTGTATTTCTTTTACAAGGTACATTATCAATTTGATATGATGACTGAGGACCGTCATGATTTTGGCGTGAAAGAGAGAATTAATCCAGCTATTGGAGCCCTAATATTTCTTGCTATTATAGGTGGTTTTATAGGACTATACATCTTAACAGATCCTTATTATGCCTTTGAACCATTAGTAAGCATTCCTATAAAAGGTGTCTGAAAATGAACATAACTGTGCTCTGATAAAAAAATTTATAGAGAATGATAGAATAAAAATAACCATTTTCTATCGTTTTGAATACGGATTTTGGTTGGTGAATTTACAAAATGTGAATAGTGTTCTATCATATACAATAGAATACAATAGATAGTGATAGAATTTCTATCATTAGTTTCTTATAGAATACAAAATTGGATATAATTAGATAAAATATGATAGGATATTCATATCTGAACTTGCGAGCGTGAACGATACAGCTTAAAGAAAACGATTCAAATTTAGCGCTCTCAATTACGATCAGTTACGATTTTGTATTCTATAGGAAACTAATGATAGAAATTCTATCATTATCTATTGTATTCTATTGTATACGATAGAATACTATTCACATTTTGTAAATATATCAACCAAACCAAAATCCATATTCAAAACGATAGAAAATGGTTATTTTTATTCTATCATTCTCTATAAATTTTTTTACCAAAGTGGTATGCACATAGAATATATCAGTCCAAATAGGAAGTCCTATACCATTTTTCAAACGATCACGTAAAATATCGAATAAATAACGAAACTGGCGAACCAATGCGCACAATGTGGAACAAACTCTGTGGACTCAAATTTATGGAAAATAGCTGAAAAATAAAATTGCCTGTAAGCAATGATGGAAATTGGCTGACGGTTGAAAGTAGAGTAACAATGCATATAGGCAATTGTTTCTCGATATATCGCATGTGTTACTGCAAAAGTCTCAATCGTTTTCGATGAAATTGTGCTAGAAGTCCTATAGCATTACACGCACTAGTTTGCTAATCTTTCAATTTCTTGAAATTTTGTTTAGTTATTTGAAAAATGTTAGGGAACCTTTTACTGAGATTGATGTGTTTTATCTGTACACTATGATTATGTTCAAAATTTTGTACAATTAGATATTTCAATACTTGATAAATATCTGTTTCAGATGGAAAAACAATATCCATATAGAGGTAAAATATATTATACATTTGAACCACAAGAGAAATAGATACAGCAAACTTGTCAAAAATACACTTCAGTATATGAAGTTATTGTAACATATGAATACATAGTATCTGTAATAATAACATATGTCTATTTATTATAATACTCATGCAATACTTAGACTTTTTTATTTCTTATAATTTTGAGTTGTAATCCACATATTTTCTTTGTCTATATTTTTTTATGTATTTGATTGTACTTTAATAAATCTTCTAAATTAAAAAATTACTAAAATGATATTGTCAAAGTGAATTAAGGCTAATTATATAAGGTGATCTACTTAAACCATTTTAAATGTTTTGTTTGTCTCTGATGATACAAAAAAATCTAAGAAAAAAGTTGCATTATTTAAGAGAGTAATTATGATGACAAAGAATTTTTTCAAGGTAATTTCAGAAATTTAGAGATCAAGGTAATTTTTTAAAAATAGAACTACATGTTTTTATTTGCACGCTTTATAGCCAACATTGAGAGGAGCCCAATGACTTATGACATGACTTTTAAATAATTTATCCTAAATTAATCTAAACTAAGCATAACAAATTACATAATTTTGAAAAAAAATTAAACATTTACGCTCGTTAACACAAAAAATTTATTTAAGGAGGTATTCAAAATGATGCTCTTCAACTTCAATATAATTTTTACTATGATACATAAATAATACTTTTGCTGTTTCTATCATTTCTGAATTTATAATTGCACATGCATCTAAAATACACTCTTTCATGTCTCCTGTGTACAAAAATCTCTAGGAGCACATACAGTATTAAAATGGCAACTCGATATCAATATATCAATCAAAAAATTTTTCCACCACCTTCGTAAAACAATCTGCGGTCACTAATCTGCGGTATAAACTTTGTTTATAATCATACATTCCTAGGTAGTAGACAGCCATAAAGCTGGTCACACACACTTTCCGTAACAGTAACCGTAAGACATAACGTAAGAATTGACCAATCATATTGAGAATCGTCAATTGTAAGGTCGCCTTTTTTGTGAATACTCGATCGTAATTGGTCAAATCTTACGTTACGTCTTACGGTTACTGTTACGAAAACTGTGTGTGGCTAGCTTAATAATGAGATACATTTTACGTCATCTGTTATGGCTCCTGCACACAGGACGCGGTAATGCTTGCCGCGCGGCGGAAGTCCGCGCGACAGCCAATCAATATGTTGCTTTTCCGTAAGAACTAGAAGGTTATTACGGAAAGCAGCATATTGATTGGCTGTCGCGCGAACTTCCGTCGCGTGGCAAGCATTACCGCGTCCTATGTGCAGGAACCATTACGTCATGTATTCTTCAAGTTAACCAAATAATGACGTCTTTTTGACGGACCTAAATCACAGACCAATGACGTCATATGTACTTAATGACGTCAATTTTTTACATAAAATGACGTAACAGTGACGGGTAAGGGCCAGCGCACGAACATTGCCGTAGCTCCTTACGTGACAACCTTACGTTACATGAAGGGACGTCTACATTGGAAGTAAGCAGTAAGAAGTAGGAAGTAAGAATAAGGAATGGACCAATTATAGTTGATTATTCTTCTCACATTCGACTGTGGTTGGTCAATTTCTTACTCTTACTTCCTATTTCTTACTACTTACATCCAATATAGACGTCCCTTGAGACGTAAGCTGAACGTACGGCAACGCACGAAAATTTTACATTACGTTACGTTACGAAGGAACATAGAGATTCTGTGACAAAGGTAATTAAATCAGATTATTGAACAATAAGTAAAAAAACAATAATAATTTACCTTTAGTCATAATTAGAAATGTCTATATTGAGCATATTAATTTTATTAAACTGTTAAATGTATCTGTACAAAATTATAAACATTGCGCTATAACCTCTTCCCAATACTATGTATAGAATATGTTTGACATATAAATATTGAAATAAAATTTTAGGTTCTCAAGTCAACAAATATGAAAACATCAAGGTCTATGAAGTTAAAATGTTTATTGTTGTCATTACTCTTAATTTATTATATGAGACTAAAACGGAGAAAAACACACAAAAGATGGAAAAATAGAAGATGGCTCGTGAGACCAATTAATCAACAAAGAAAACAACAAGGAGAATGAAAATCTATTTCAAGAATTAAAAACTGATGAAAACATGTTTGTCAAATATGCTAGGATGAATGTTCAACATTTTAACAAGTTATCAACCATGCTAAGATCTTATTTGGTAAAAGAACTAAGAAAACTCTGTTTCCGGAACACAGGTTAATAATAACATTAAGGTAAATATAGTTTATTAGTAAAAAATCGTTTAATGCAACTACTTCCTAAATTTTTAGTTATGTTTAGAAATTATTGTTAGAAAC